CGATAATCATGCAAATTGTCAACGAACTTCGACATTAAATCCCAATATCATAAGCCACACCATTATATCATACGAGCAACACTTATCACATATATCAAGGAAAATCATCATTTCATCAAGTTCTATTTCGCTCAACTCATACGAACCACAAGATCACCACATCAAGCCATTAATCTTTGAACCCTAATATGCAATTACCATCAAGGCATCAACATTTAACAAAAATATACATCAAAATATAAAGAGTTCATCATCCGTGGTACCGTTCTCGGGAAAAGTCGCGTGAAATGATCGAGCGAGGGCCAAGAAAGGTTGTTACGTGCACATAGAGTCGTTAGTCGGTGTGTACGGCAGTTGGGGCCAGTGGTTCAGCATGTTACGGCGAGGCTCGGTGCTGGTAATCGCCGTGAATGGCCTCGCGGGTAATGGACAGCAATCGAAGGGGGCGATGCTCGCTCGGCGGTGCACAATCGGAAAAATAAAAAAATAAAAATCGCCGGTGGTGATGGAAATGTTCAACTGGTTGCTGCTCGCGGTGGGATGATGATAATGATAATGGTCAGATTATGAGAGTGAGGGGATGGTATAGCGAGAGAGAGGAATATGTCACGAGAGGGAGAGAGGCTTTCTCTTCTTTGATGTTGATCGAACGAGAGGGAGAGATTTAGGGTCTGCGTTTTTATGATTAAGAGAGGGGAGTGATCTCTCATATAAATAGACCTAGGTTTGCTCCCAACTTACCAAGACTTGGCTTACAAGAAAACCAAAAGGAGAGAGGGGAAAAATCGGACTTGGGTGATGGGGCTTCAAGTCGTTGCGCGGCGCATGGCTTCAGGCACGCGGGTTTGTCGGGCTTGGTCTCTCGGTTAAAAAATTAGCAAAATAATCGAGGCTCGGGTCAATGCAACGATAAATAAAATAAACCGACATGTTTATATATATATATAATACATACAATATTTATTATTTAATAATAAATAGCATAAAATAATTAGACAATTAGACATTTACGAGCACATAATCACAAGAGAAATTGATAATCGAGTACGAATAAAATAAATCCGGACAAATAAAATAAATAATAATAGTGCCAAAAATATCCGAAAAATCCAATAAGCGAATGGGTTAGATCCGATTCACGTGATTATCTCGAAATCGTCGAACGACGCGCGTTTTAAAATTAAAATGATAAGTACTTAAACATTTAATTTAAGTAGATATCGCGACCAAAAATATAAATATAATCTCATGAATAACATTCAATAAATAGAATAATCCGCGAAATTCTATAAATTGAATGGGGCGCTACAAAAGTCCTCTAAACATTCCAACTTAACCTACATTCTTACGATAAGCTACTGAATCAAGTCAAAATAAGATCTCTGTGCTTATTTACCTTTTGTCATAATCAAACACATTATACAAGAACATTTATGATTGTTACGTACACGCATTGACCAAAAAATCATGAGCATTAATAAATATGGTATAATCTTACATAAAATGTAATAAATAATGTCCGTTTTTAGAAAGCTAAGTATGGACAACACCCGTTTAGCATCGACTCGGGTCATAGGGGCCCAT